AACATTCTGTGCATTATATTTGTGGAAATGCTATAAAATATGTACAGAATATTTCATTTGTTTAGAGAATAAAGGCTAAATCACTGACTCCCCACAGCAAATGCTCAGGATGAAGGAAGGTATTTCAAAGGCAGTGTGAAGTTAAGCGAAATGCAGTTATCTTCTAGGCATCCTAGGCATTACCCAGAGCAGTATAACAGAGGCTCTTCGTTGCCTGCAGAAGGCGCTGAAAAAACAAAATAATGAAAGTCTTAAGCTGCCAGCATCACTTCTTGAACAACAGAGGTCACCTGAGCCCAGTAGCTGTTTCAGAGTAAGGCAGTTTGGAGTCTAACACTAAAGCAGCTGCCTGGGCACCCCTGCTGCAGCAGACCTATGTGTCAGCACCTCCCATAAGCACAGTCTGGCCTCCAAAAGGTTGGAATTTATGTCTGCTTTTACTTGCCCGGAAGTTAGATGCACTGAATGCTCCACTCGTTTTCTTCCTGACCACTCATTCACCAAGTGACTTTGGAGATGAGTGTGTCATGCTGGGGTGCCCTGTACTGCTGCCCTGGGCAGCCAGAGCAGCTCTGCACTCAGATGAAGCTGCCAGATGGGGTGGTGAACAGGCTGTGGACCTGCACAATGAATTGCTTGGACTTCAGTTCCCCAGCTGAACTCTGGATTGTGAATGGCGTTTATAAACTATGGCTTGATGTAACTCAGCACCTGTGAAAATTAGTCCACCATCCATTTTTCACTTTGAGTCATGCATTACAGTGAAAATCAGGCTTTTTTACCAAATGCTTTTTTTGCCAAGTTGACACAACACTGTGCTGTAACATGAATAATTGAGAGTCATATGCAGTCTGTCATCCTCAGGCACCTATTTAGGTTTTGCCCTGTTTAAAAGGTGGGTACTCAGCCTCAGCAGAATGATTTAGGTCACCCACACGAGAAGCCCTAACTACTTCCTACAAAGTCAAACTAAGATCAAAGTGCTTCCACAGGCTACCAAAAACGAAGTTGAAGGGTCTATGTTGGGATCACTGTATTAGGAGCACTTCCACGGAACTATTCATGGTGTCAGCACATGCACTTATTAATGCTGGATAGTCATTGCTAGCATATGGCAGTTCTCAGAAAACAAATTAAAAAGTACAAAATCTTTTTCATTCTGTTTAAACAGACACATAATTACTTGAATGTTACTGACATTGAAAGCATGAAGCAATGAGGGTGATCAGAGCAGTGTCACAGTTGTCCCCATGCCAAAGCATGTTATTAAACAACAGAAAACACTTCCAAGAAAGGACACATGATATTTACAGAAATAATAAATCAAGCCTTGTGCGTAACTTTTGTGCAGAGCAATATGAAATGCAGCTAAAAACTTGTAAATTTTTTGTTGATGACATAAAATGTTTCAGAAAGGAGTAATATTTTTGCTCATTTATTTGCGGTGATCATAAATGACTGGAGTTTGCATGAAGAATGCATTAACGCTGTGACAAACTAGGAAATATTAAGACAATTTTAATGACTTGTGCATGCCTCTCATCTATTTCTTGGTAATTGCTGATTTGCTGTGTGATTAATCAAAGACTTCTTCAGGAAGAAAGAGAAAGAAATTAAAAAGTGGCAATAACAAGACTGAAGCCCGAAGTAAATAATGTCAAATATTGTAAGACAATGGTGGATGCCTCATCAGTTGTGAAATAAACATTTTCCAGATTGACATTTAGGATCAAAACACATCCTGAATCATAAAGATGTTGGTATTAGAAAAGGGTAATTGTTTCTGGATTGTGACACTGGCTGACACCTCTTCTTACGGAGACTTGCGATGGTATGTCTAAATCTGTATTAAGAGACACACTATAGTTGAGACGGGATTCATGAGCTGACCAAGCAACAGACTTGAAAGGCCTGTTTAGTTGCTGGTAGAGGCTCCTGGAGAGAAGGAAGAACCAGTGCTAACCCTAGGAAGGCTTGGCAGAGCAGCCAGGTTCACGCAGAGCAGCTGCTGCCTAAGGTTCCTTGTGGAGTCATGGACAAAGGGTATGGGGAAGTATGAAACAGAGGATACATGCAAGGCTGGGCATAAGCTGCCATCAGAGAGTCTACCTGCCCCATTAATGATGTGGAAGGCTCCCTCTGGGAACAGGCAGCAGCTTGGAGTGAGGCTTGTCAGAAGCCATGGCTTATCCCCATGTGGGAATTGGCAGGCATTTTAACAGCTGGAGCTCCAAAGTGGCCAAACTGACCCCAACACAGCCCTGACCTCAAGGATGAACTCAAGAGGGCCAGAAGCGATACAAGTACATCTCACCTCATAACTATGTCGTACACAACATAAGCTTCCACTGGAAAAATTCATCAGACTGTGAACTTTGATTTCACTGGTGTTTTAAGCTGGATTTTTTTTCCAAATTGTTACTATGCATTTCCCAAACTTTTTTCCCAAGTCTGCTCAGTACTCTAAAGAAACATGAATGTTTCCCATATGAATCAAACAAGGTTTATAGCTTTTCGCAAGTTTTATTGACATGTGGTACTGAGCGTCTGCCATAATGAAGGAAATTCGTGTCAGTGGGAATATTACAAAGAAAAAAAGTAGGTGATTTATTAGAGAGCTTCTTAAAGCTGTCTTAAATTTATAAGAATTTTCCAGCCTCTGTCTAAAGATTTTGCTGGGGTTTGTATCCACATGTGAGCAACATGGAATACTGTAATTGCACTACAGTGTTCTGAAAATGGTTCTGCAAAGGTACATTGTGTTAAGGAAACTTCTATTAATGACACTATACTTGGCAAAGGACCCAGGAACCGTATCAGTGAAAGAACCATTCAGAAACATGTTTATTTCAAACTTTCAAGTTGGAGTCTCCTGTTCCATTGGGGTTATGTGGTTGTAGATCTTGTGATTTTAGCAGAATTGTTCCTAATTTTTGCTGGCATATCTGAGTAGATTCAGATATGAGATCCTCCGGAAATACCAGCAGTGGAAAAACCTCTGGTTTCAGTGTGGAACTTAGAAATGAGCTGGGAGATTTCAGCACTGGGAGAGGTAACTGGAGAGGCTGATCAGGCATGACACCTGGAAAGTTAGTGTTGTGAAACGCTGAGTACCTTCAGAGAGGGTATGTTAGCTAGTGCATATACTTATAAAACTAATTACACAGTTTATTTTAGCTAATCACATTTCTGGGCAGGGATACAAATGTTAGGCAGGATAGGTGGATACATATATATATTATCAATAAGACAAGCCATGTCAGTAGCAAAGCTCGTGGAAGTGCAAAAAAAAAAGCACTCTTGTCATCACTGTAGGCACAACTTACAGAATAGCATGGACGGGAAAATTTCAGTGTCTTGTATGAAAATTTCATTTTTACAATGTGAAACTGATTTTTTTAAGGTTGCATTTGATTGTTTCATGTGTACTTAAGCATATAACTAACTTGGCTATAAACCATCTTTCCTTCTGTATTAAACTGATCTGCCAAAGAAATCTCCTGCTCTTCAAAGGAGACATTCCTCATGAATGTACCAGTTCAGCAACAGTCAAAGAAGAAAGCATATTCTTGACGGTAATGGACTAGTTGGAGCCATCAAAATAAATTACTGTGTCCAAATACTAAAACTGTGAAGACAACAATGCTGCAATACCAGTTCCTGAAAATGCAGCCTAGTACAATGCTCTTTATGACAAGATAGACTTCCTATTAGATTTAAAAGGTACCACGAAATTTCCAGGCACTTCTGATTGACAAGGAATACTTTTTATCTTTAATTTGCAGTCCTTCTGAAAAAGGAACTTGCAAAAAATGTCCTGCAATCATTTGTGTCTGATTGCACTTCAAATCTGCTTATAATAAAGCCCCTGAAATGGTCTACTTGCTGTGTTCCTGGATGACTAAGCCTGTGTTTCAAGTAACAGCATGAATGTAGGCAGGGATGTAGGACTTGGAAGAAATCTCCTCCGTTACTGAGAGTTACTAAATCCCATCCTTTTTTCTCTGTTTACACTCTCTTCCTCATGAAGCAGAGGCACTTTACATGTTGAAACACACTGACCTGGGCACTTGGACTTTATGCAGTTGAAGAAAGATGGTTTGGGAGGGAATAACACCTACCCTCAAGAATTTTTCTATACTTCACATGCTTTCGAGACTTACACGATGTACCAGCACCCACAGACCCTGTGCTCCTTGCTCCATTTCTTCTTGGCACACTTTAAGTTTGTAAGCCTTCTTGATCATGCATCAGTCCCTGTTTTCTTTGTGTGTTGAGGTATGCTGGGCACTTCTGAGATTTCCAGCTAATTCTCAAACGGCAACTCTGCAGAGGTGGTGTTAGGAAAGGTACAGGATCCATTTTTTTCAGGCAAATAAATAAAGTAACTTGGCTTAAGCTCCTGTTGCAAAGGAAGGCTGCAATATCTACATAGCTTTGAGGGATAAGGTGGCAATTAATCTGTGATGGATGTCATTCTCTATTAATTTCTGGTAAAAAGGAACTGTGTTTATTTTCATCTGTAATAAAGTGTTGGATCATACCACAGCCTCCTTATTAAATGAAATGGATCTTCTCTTGTATCTTGAATGTCAAGTTGATCCATAGTGGTAAAAAAATAGCAATTTAATCTAACTTCAGCGTCTTTTGATTCTGCCATTACATCTGTTAGTTCACCACTTTCCCTTAAGACAGAGAATATGATGAAAAACAATGAGACATCAGGAAAAGACATACTGGTACTCAATGCTTAATTTGTTTGAAAAATAACATGGATTGCTTCCTTTCTAACTTTTACTGTTTACATTGGGGACTACCTGGCTTTTTATGACACAAGCATAGACACACACAAGTACATCATATAGTTCATAAACTGATGAAGCTCTGTCTTATTTGATTTATAGTCCTTATTTTTACAGAACCACTGTGCAGGCAGCTAGAAAACACTAAGGAAGAGATTTTTAAATGCTGCTTTTTTAGTCTGCTCTTGTATTTTGCAGCTGACACCAGTCTTGGAACAGATGATGTTTATGATGATAAAGGGTGCCAGTGTGATGTGTCAGTAGAAGATCTCACCCCTGCTCTTAAAACTGTCATCAGAGCAATCAGGTGAGTAAAAAATACTGAATGAATAAATATTTGAGGTTTCTTTAATCAAGATACTAGTTAACTGCATGTCAATTAATAAAATGTGAGTTGAACTTATTGCATGGCTATATTTTAACAAATATAGCATAGCTAATGCTAATATAGTTTATGCTTCCTTTTCATCAGTATTTTAGTTAAAAGTTAAGATAATTTACCTGTTCTGTTACCATCTTTGCAATGTCTAAAAATATTACACAATTTGATTCAGAAAAAAAAAAAGAGAGTAATGAATGCTGATTTGCACTACATTTCCTGCAATCCAACATACTGTAATCCAGTTTGATGCATTTCTACTGCATGTGTATCACCATGCCTAGAAAATTATTTCCTTTAAAAATTTAGGGGGTTCTTTCATTTCCAAAGTCCTGACACTGTCTGTTATATGATTTTCATCACAACCTTCTTCTGGTAACAGCAGAATAATTGCATTCATTCAATTATGCAAAGCCTTGCCTGCCACTATCCAGTGAACTAAATATAACCCAAATAATTTTAAACTAATAGTCTCCTTCTTTTCCAAGAAAGTAGCAAACTGCATTGAAACTTACAAGATTACCTGAATTGAAAGCTTAAACTTAATATTCACCCTACTGAGACTGCCAAGGCTTTTCATTTTCCCACATATCTTGAAATGAAAATCCTGACAGGCAAAATCCCCACCATAAAGAGTACATCAACAAGCAAGGAGAGCTCAAGCATTCCCTCCCTGCTGACAGCAAACCCGAGGGTATTACTGGGGGTCACCCCAATGGCTCTGCATCACACTCAATCCATGCCTGACACCCTTCCTGCAGGCAGGCAGGCAGGCAGCAACCACATGGGTTTTTTGCAAAACCCTGTGGAAAGATGATGTTTTCCTGCAAGGAGACTCTCCCCTGAGTCTTCTCAACACTATGGGAAGAAAGAACGCAAGCCCTTTCTCATATAATTTGATACAGTGATAACCTATGCACTTGTATTTCCTTCCTCTTTTTCCACTGATTGCCAGTGAAGACAGATAGCAAGTAAGGCTGTTCCTAATACTTTTCTACTAGCACAGACAGCTTGACAGATCACTTGCAGATGCGTGTTCCAATAATTTTTCCAACGTGCCTGGAAATGACCTCACAGGACGTGTCAGATACCAGGTCTGTGTCCACAGCCACTGCAACTGGCAACTCAAGTGTCACCGCTGAGAACCATCTCTTGCCAGCTATGTTTCAGCAGGTGACAGAAATCCTTCTACACAGTGGACACCCACCTACAAGGCAGGCCTATTCCTTCAAGTGGAAAATGCTCAAATTAGGATCCATCAGCATACTCCATTGGCTCTGGTGCCAAAGATCCTTGTCTGTGATGATGCATTTTAAACAGACTGGTTGACTCTTAGCTCCAAGTGCACCTTGCCACTGTACTGGCAAGCAATACCAACAGTCATCTCATTCTTAATACCGTCCAAATTCGTTAAGATCAGCTTGACATTTTAATACTAAATTCATGCAGCTTGTTTACAAATGAACCACTAGATTGCTCAATGCATCACCTACATCTTTGCTTGGTTCTCTTGGTAATTACCAGCTCTAGTAGAAAGTAAACAGATGTGAAGGACGTAGTTGGCAAACTTTCTCCACACTGCCATCTACAGACACGTTCTAATAAGACGAGGAAAGATGCAACAGCTTGTTTTAGACATGCACTATTTAACTGGTAAGAGTCAACTTTTTAGGTTATTTCCGATTTTTTATCTGCATACTTGGCTTACCAAAACCCAACTCATTTCACCACTGAGGCTGAGAATAAGAATCTCCACTTGCTATCAATTAGCCAAGAATCTCTCCCTGAGAATGTTGGTGTTTTACTGGATCACAAGCAGTGCATACATCTTGCTTCAGAAATGCACCTTTGTTTAAGATCTGTAAAGCAGTAATATGCTATGATCTTCAGACTTCTGTTAAATGCTATACCTTAATATCTCAAAATCAAGAGACTGATAATTCAGTACATCAGGTAGCTGATACTCCTCTTTCGGATTATTCAGAGTATCTGTTACCTGACTACACTGGGATCTATGCAAACATCTGAAGAAGGATCCGAGACGCTATATAGTAACTGTAGAATTTCAAGATGATAACATCTGCTTATATGGAAACTTTGTGCCTCGTTTTGAAGTTTGTTTTTAGCAACGGCTTTGAATTGCAAAGGCCATGGGGGAGGGTGGAGGCCGTTTTTCCTTTCATGCTGTATACAGAGGCAGATGAAGACAGAAGGTACTTGCATAGCTTCATGAGACACTATGAAAAGACCTCAAATATAAGCACATGCACAGTTAAATCTATTCTGACTATATCATCTTGAAAAACTGCAATAAGGGAGAGTCATTATTTTTTCCTGCTTGGAGCTAAGTATAAATTGTTTTACAATGATATAAATGGTCCTTTTATTTTGGGGAAAAAATGAAATTAGCAAAATTAATTAATGCCTGTGGGTTTACAGAGGTAGGGCATCCCTCAGTTTTGGAATCAGAAAGAACTGGGGTATTTTTCAGTGAAAGGAGCCTAGAATATGCTTGTTACTCTCAGGTTGGACAGCCTTGAAATAGCAAAAGACAAACCCAGTTTTATTTATAATCTTTCATTTTGGTAGTTCCAAAGTCTACTGCTTCAGTTTTGACCTTGCTCACTTACATTTTCCCAGGATTACTTTATTTTTCAAAACTACCTGATTTTAAACAAACCCTCAAATTTTCATTTTTAAATAGTCAATACAGGAGATGGAGAAAACAGCTCTTCCCTGAAAAAGTTCTTAACATATTGGCCCATTCCAAAACTAGTACTCCCAAGCAGTCCTACTGAAAAGCAACTGGGCAGACCTGTCCAGTAACATGTCAAGCTACTAGCCTCCTCTCAACCCTCCCACAGGTTGTCTTCCACAGCCCATCTCTTGTGCTGCCCCTTCCTTACTACAAACTCTCTGTCAAGAAAGACCAACTGAGGCAGTAGGGCAAGTAAGGAAAAGCTGCTCAATACATTTGCATCATGTTGAGTGAGCAGGGAACAGATAGGTAGTGTAGTGAAGCGTGGTGTGCTCCACAGCATGCCTTAGGCCTGGCCAGGATCAGTCCTGCTCCTCCGCAGCCCCTGGCTGGGATGAGAGCAGTGCACAAAGCAGTTCTTGCTAAGAGTACACTGAGCCTTTCTGCCAGCATGTTTTGTAGCACTACTCAACCAGCCCTAGTCTTGTTGTGAACAAAAAGCCACTAATACCCTGCAGAGTCCCTGCAGGATAATAAAAAACATTGCATTTTCCAGCTTTGTTCGTTCACAATGATTAATGTATATAAAAGAGACTAAAAAGAAGATGAGGATATCTTGTTTCCATATATTGCAACATCTCTGATCATTTTTCATAGCAAGAGGCGCTAAATTCTGTAATACTCTCCACAATGGAAATTATGGAATTATTTTACTATTTATGGAATATAAAATCATATTTGAGAAGCATAAATAAATATTCAGTAGGAAATAACTGCAATGGCAGTTTCTGCTAGACCTATAAAATGTATTTTTAGCAGCCATTATGAATTTGTTCAGTGGTGTTTCAGAATCCTCTATTTCTTTTAAATCCCAACACATTTTATGTGTTCTGCCTAGATGGTCTTCAGAGTCTAGGCAAGGCTCTTACATGTGTCTTTGGCTATGACAGCACTGTGCTTGGGAGAAAACAATGTCCCTGGCTCCTAGGTTAGTCCAAGTAAAGACCTGAGAGAGGACGCAGTTTTGACCCACCCAGCCTACGTATAGTGGAGCTGTTCTTTCAACCATCTTTGTCTGTTGGCCTTTCTATGTTGGATCCTGATCTCTTCTGCACATTGTAGTTTACCAGGAAGAAGGGTTATTTGGTAGCGTAGAGAGCTAGAGGAACCAGCACAGCTAAATCTGTGTGCACCTGCTTTCCTGATGTAGTAAGTGAGCAAACAACCTGTCGTCACCTCATCCTGCTGTGGGTAAACAACCTTCCTGTCTTTTAATCTTCAAGACAGTAACTATATATGAGTTTGCCTGAATCCCAGTAGAATGAAGATAGTTTCTTCCTGAGATAGTGACAAGACTTGAAAGACAAAAATAAAAAATAACATGAGTACAACAGGGCTGCACAGAGGATAAGGGATGTTCTGACTCAGCGCTGGTCTCAGTAAAGTGCACTATTGACAAGCAAAATAGCTTTTAATACTGGAAGGAGCAATGTGAATGAAAATTAAAATGCAACAAATAACAAGAAAGACATGCAACCTGCATGTTCAGAAAACACCATCATTCTAGGTCATGGCTGATCCTGCATTTGGCTACAGATAAATTAAATGGATGCTGGTTTTGGCTGCTAGGGGTCAGTAAGACAAAAGTTGGTATAGGACATGTACCTCTCTCCAAATTATCAGGGCAAGTGTAGATTAGTGGGTCCTGTGGTTTAAACACTAACTATAGACAAAACACTTTGATATACTGGTCTTTCACAAGACTTCTCTTTTGCTCTCCTCTGGAAGCATCATTGAAATAGGCTACTTTTTATGTCTAATTGTCACCATAAAATTGTCATGGTTGTGACTTGGATAGGTTTACAATCATGTATTGTCTATCACATTAGATAAGAGTTATAAAATACCACCTCACTACATGGCATACAAATAATGTCTTTAAAAGCCCTGGGGACTACACGGTTTTGTTCTTTTGGGTTGATTCTTACTTTAAATTACTGCCGTTTGGTCAGTACTAGCAGTTCAGAATTGCCAGCGGCAACTCAGTCCTGTTTGTGATGAGTCTTGTTTGCCCCCTCGTGGTATAATTAGAAAAAACAGACTGAGCTGTAGTTCACTCTATTCTTAAGGGTGGTGCTTCAAATACTTGGGGTGTGAATAACGTTTTCCCTTTTTCGCACCCACCTGTGTCCACATAAGTGAACCCTTCGTTTTTATCCCAGAGGAACACATACAGAATAGGCAAATTTTTATTCTAGAAGCACAAATGCAGGAAGCTCAAAGGCTTTTTTGTTCTATTATATTGTTATTTCAAGATACAGAAAGCAAATTGAGTTTTTAAAATTGACAGTAAGTAACTATGGTGAATCAACCAAATTTAAGAACTGCAAAGGAGTTGCTAGGCTCCATCACTGAAAGAATTCAGGTTTTCTATTTCTTAATTAACTTGCAGGCTTTTAAAATGCCAGTCTTTTATAACCCTTCAGGTTTGTTGTGCTGTTTATGTAAAATTTTGTATATTTGAAGTAAAAAGAAGTAGCATGGGTATGTTCCAAACCCTGCTGAAGTTAATTAAGATGGCATCAAATGAGCTAATACCTAAATCAGAATTAGTGCAGTTATACCTCACTGATACAGCCATGATGCTTTCGATCCTTTGACTTCTGAACATTATGAACAAACTGCCTTGATAAGCAAAAATACTGTTACAAAGCTGAAATTGAAAGCAGCAATGAAGACTTGTGTGCACACTGATTAAGAAGCTACTATGGCTGTTAACAAAAATTAGTCTTCTGTCTCTTCTCTTGTAAAATCACCCAGTTGTGGTAAATTCAGTTGCCTTCAATTATGCTATTAATGCTCTGGCTCTGCTTTTCTAGAAGAGTTTCATATTTTTACTTTACCAAGAGTGTGAAGTAAAAATTTGTGACCGCCAAAACAGAGAGAATAATAACAAAAGAATTATACTTTCTTGTATATCAGCTACATCATTTATTCTTTGTAACCTGAATAAAGAACTAGATTCAGGATACTTGTCTGTGCTGTCAGACTATTATGAACAGAACATCTTAGCACCATTTGACAGCTAAAAGAAAAAAAACCTGCATCCCAGCTTTAGAGACCTTCAGATTACAAAAGATGCTGAAAGCCATTAGTCTGTAGAGCTGGCTGACATGCAAAAGAGTAAAGTACATCATCTGACATATTTAAAACTGTATGGAGATCAAACCTGAACTGTCAAGGTGATGGACTACTCCTAACAGGCATTTTCCATTTTTAATTTCTATTATCAGAATCATAGTTCAAGTTCTATACCAGTGACAAGCAATCTCATTTTTAACTAGTAGTTACCAGAATAGGAAATACCAATAGCCTAAGCACTGTGGGAAAAGGTTGATACTATTTGGAAGAGCATTCATGTATGATACAGAAATCAGTAGATGATCAGTATACACTATTAATCTGACTCAACATACCTATTATTGTAATGTCTGTCCTAACTACACAAAGTATCGTTTTCCTGAATTCCACTAAAACCTTACTAATCTATTTTTATCACAGAGTGAGAGCCATGCTTTGGGTTTTATTACAATTCATTGTCTTACAGCTGCTAAATACATATCATACTAAACATGGAGGGAATATATTCGCATGAAATAATGGCATTTGGAATAGGTTACCAATTTACTGTGTCTGCATTTTAATTGCAATAGACAGCAAATATCAGCAGTTTGGCCCTAATGGGAATTCATAAGCTCTGTAATGTTGACCAGTATGGCCAACACATCTCAACCCTCAGTTTCTCTCTCAGTTCTTACACAGTTGTCTCTTATACAGTTCTCAGGTAAACCAGGGAGACTGCAGGTTTCACCAGCTGCTGGAAAATCAATTCACTGTCATTTACTTTCCAAATTTGAAACTTCTATTATTTAACATTTGCTATTTAATATCAATTGTTTCATTCTTAGAAGAGCTACTCAGTGGACATCACATAGTCACATATTCACATAAGCATCACAGAAACTTGTGCAAGTCTCACACAAAAATATATGCCAGTCATCAATTTTGAATATTTGCTGTTATCTGATGTTTACTGTTCTGCAGTAAAATCCAAGGGAAAAAAAATCACCAGTGCTAATTAAACAATAATTCCCATAGACCTCAATATGGAACAAACATCTAATTAAACAATAATTCCCATAGATTTCAATATGGAACAAACTTGAAACTTCTCTTTAGCCTGCAAAGTTTGATCTTAAATCATCAAAATAAATTAAGAACAATTACTTTGGCCTGAATGTTAACTAAAAATAAAAATCGATGAAAAACTGAGTACATATTTTTTTTTATTTTTTTACAAAATGGAAAGTAAAAAACTTAAAATGCACACCAGAAGATTATTATTTCTTTTTGTGTAATTGATTTGTTAAAGAAATCTTTCCTCTAATAAGGACAGAAGTAGCTTAAGCACAAAGGTAACTTATAGAGTATCCCACTCAAGTCAGTGGGACTAAGCCTAGGTTTATGTTAAGCATGTTCTTCAGTACCTTTCATAACAGGCACCTAGCACAATAAAAGCCAGACAGGTGTGTACTGATACACCAAACACTGCACTGCTCTGCACTCTTTAAAACAGTGTTACTCATTGTGTCTTAAGTAACAATTCAAAGGGATAGTTACAACACATTTGTACTTACTAAAAACCTGTGTGAAAGGAAAAGTTCACTTGCACAAGCTGTTCGAAATATCTTCCATTTAAAAATTAGCTGTCAAATTTTATCAGTGGAATACAACATATTGTTTCACAACAGTTAAAGATTAATCTGTGAAATGTTTTTTTCTCTCAGAATTATGAAATTTCATGTTGCAAAGAGGAAGTTTAAGGAAACGCTTCGTCCTTATGATGTCAAAGATGTCATTGAACAGTATTCAGCAGGTCATCTAGACATGTTATGCAGGATTAAGAGTCTTCAGTCTCGGTAAGGAAAGAATAATATCTGCTCTGCCTAAGCATCTTATGTTATGTCATTCACAGCATAATGAATATTGGTAATGTTTAACATTTCTGTGTTACATTTGGGTAAAAATTGACATCCATTCTTCAGCCCAACCTCTCTGTGAGCACAGATGAGCCAGAAACTATGTCGTGGGTAAAAACAAGCAAAAAAACCACACATCTAAGTAGTCTGCAGAACATGGAAGTCTGAACAATAGAAAAGGTAATCCTTTACCTGTGAAGTCCAGTCATAAACAAGGAATTTAGTCAGGAGACTGCCAAAACGAAAAGACCTCCTCTTTTCAGATAAAAGAAGTTTGGAACTACTGGTAGTGCAGTATGTATGTAGTTTTTATGTTCGAGATTCCCAGCAACAACAAGCTAAAAACAAAACAAAACACAACTTTCCATCCTGTGTATTATTACCAGCCTTAGGGCTGAGTCTCCTGCTTCAAACTGACAACTTTCCCAGGACTCGATGGTGGTGTTAGGATGGGCTTGCTGAAGGTGACACTGGTATGTTTGTTCCTCCACAACATCAGCCTGCTGGAGAGCCCACCTCCTCTGTCCCCCTCTTTGCAAGTGTAGCTCTGGTTCTACCAGATGATGGCTAAGTTCTGGCCCCTGGTTAGTGTCAACAGAAAAGAAAAGCAGTCTCAAATACCTTTTTTTTTTCCTTAATTAATAAAATTGTCTTTTTCTCAGGTGCTTTTCTGAAGTACTGTGATTTTAATTTTTAATATACAGCTGTAGCAAACACTTCCATATCATCACTGTTTTCAGCAATCACAACAGCTTTTGATTTCTTTTACAGCGTTGACCAAATTCTAGGGAAAGGACAAATCACAGCAGATAAAAGAAGCAGAGAAAAGAATCCTGCAGAGAATGAGACAACTGATGACCTCAGTATGTTAGGACGTGTAGTCAAGGTGGAGAAACAGGTAGAGTAATGATCTGTGTCACTTTGTCTGGCTCTATTGCTCATGCCTTTTGTCTGTTTTATTGACAGTTTTAAAGGCTGAATGGGTTTGGTTGGGTTTTGTTCTAATATCTGCTTCATTTACATGTAGAAATAAAATTGATATTAAAAGCATTACCATAACTGTCTTCCATGTACAAAAAAGTAAGGAAGGAAAAATTGCACATTACAGGGTTTTTTCACCTTTTATCAGCTTGCATATGAAAAATCTACATGGCTTCTGACATTCTTTTTCAAAGTCTCAATAGAATATACTAAGCTTTTTCCGTTTTCCTCTTCAGCAGTCAGATTTTCCCTTTGCTTGGGTTGAAAATATTTTAGATTAGTATTTGGTATTAATGTTAATCTTTTCCTCGCCTCCTGCAGGTACAATCCATTGAGTCAAAACTGGACTGTCTATTAGATATTTATCAACAAGTTTTGAGAAAAGGATCTGCATCCGCGCTCACTTTGGCTTCATTTCAAATGCCAGCCTTTGAGTGTGAGCAGACTTCTGATTATCAAAGTCCATCGGACAGTAAAGATTCATCTAATTCTGCACAAATTAGTGGATGTGTATCCAGATCAGCTAGTGCCAATCTGCCTCGTGGCCTACAGCTTATACTGACACCAAATGAATTTAGCACTCAGGCTTACTATGCTTTCAGTCCAGCTATGCATAGTCAAGCAACGCAAGTGCCAAACGATGGACCTGCAACAGTTAATAACACATCAAACCAAATAAACCAGGCAACTAAGCCAGCAACTCCAACAACGTTACAAATACCACCTTTCTCATCAATGAAGCATATCAATAGGCCTGAGCCCGTTCATATTATTCCTGTAACCACACAGGAAAATATTTCCGATGTCACCGCTTGCCTTGTTGCATCAAAGGATAACGGACAAGTTGCACAGCCCAATGTGAGGAAGGATCTCGCATGGAGAAAAAGTCTGGATACAGAAGGGGAACCTTTGCTCTCAGTTAAACCTGTGGTGCAAATGGATTTAGGAAAATCTTTATCTGTACAAAACCTTATACAATCAACAGAAGAACTGAATGTACAGATGGCTGGCAGTGACTCCAGTGGTTCCAGAGGTAGCCAAGACGTATACTCCAAATGGAGGGAGTCAAAATTATTTATAACTGATGAAGAGTTGGAGACAGGAACAGAGGCAGGAACAGAGACTACTGAAGCCATCTCGCGCCCATTAGTGGAAACAACTCTCTCTGCTGACTCTCTAAGGACTGGAATATCAAGATCATCTCAAAGCATCTGCAAGCCAGGGGACGGTACAGAAGCACTCAATCTGCTCCACGTCAAACTTAAATAACAGCTTGTGGGCTTTCTTCATTGGCTGGGTCATTCCTCTAGTCATACATATCATAGCATGAACTATTTCAAAAGCCTTTTTAATAAGATAAAATCACAAAAATCAGGATGAATCTGCAAAGCAGTTGAATGAGCCCATATCTCCTAGTTGCATGAAAATGCATGTTTAAGTGATGGCTAAGATTCAGATTTACACCTACAGTACGGCAGCCTTTCATGTAGTACAGTAGGTTTAAATAATGAGTTGCCTACAAAGCTAATGCTGCAGGATGTATCGAAAAGCAAAAATTTGAGCATTTGGACCTAGTGCCGTTTCTACAGGGCAGAAGTAAAAATTGTAAGGTTTAAAGCACTTTGCTTCTGAACTAATTAAATATATATATATAATGTCCTGATTTAGATTATAGTTTATGTTTACAACAAAAAAAATTATCTACAGCTGCTAGCAAGGTACCAAGGAAACCAGTAATACGGGATCACAAATGGCTGCCAGATGCAAGATACACACATTAGCTCATCCGTAATGTGTTATTTTTAACTCTGAAAACCAGTATGTTAATATCCATCTGATTTTTGGTGATTTAGTGCTGTGGCAAAAGAATCTGACACACCACTATCATGTTGAGTTTTTTTATAAGAACATTCTTTTGCTATGAAAAGTTTGTATTTTAAGGGTTGGGGCTGGCCTTAGAAGGGGATAACCTATGTGACTGCACCAAAAATTATGGGGAATTTCTCATTCTTCCTGTCTCATTGAGGAGATAGCTTGTGAATTTTGGCAGCAGTAGGGGAGGGAATGAAGCAGGTGCTGCCTTTATTGTAGAAGCTGTATTTCCTTGTGTGGAAATTTTGGCAATTTTCCTTGCAGCCCCAATCTGATACCATGACAGCACTTGTTAAGTCTGGGAAAGAAGGGAAAATAAGGAACTGAAATACAGAGTAAAAGTAAAGAGAACTGAACAGGGAAGAGAGAAAGACAACACCATAAATGAAGAAAATAAAAAAACGATATGGATTTAGATGGGCAGGAGGGGAAATGATCCCAGAAAAGGAAGGTAAAGAGGCAAAAAGATGTATTTATTTTAAATCCAGCTTACCAGTCACACATATTGAGTGCTATTTCCAGGAAAAAAAAAAAAAAAAAAAAAAAAAAAAAAAAGAAGCCATGTAGGCAATCAGAAATGGAAATAGAAGTAGGAAAGACTGAAAAAAAAAAACCTAAAGGGAAGGGTTTTTTTTGTTTGTTTGCTTTAAAAAAAAAAGGGGGGGGGGACACTCTTACAGCTCAACACTGTGTCCCAACTGCAGTAATTTCTTGTGAACTTTCCAAGAAAGGACCTTCATACTGCTTCCTCCTAATACCCAAGTCTTCAAATTCAAAGCCTACATCAGAGCAAGCATTCCTAAACTCTCTTTTTCTTATCCTAACCTACACTTCCCTTCTGCTGAGACACAGGAGCAGTGTTAGTGCCTATCTGCCCATCCCCAACAAGGCTTTGCCACTGGGAGAACCCTTGCAGAGCCTAAACAGGCTTTTGCTCTTCCCAGCTGAACAAGGTGTCTGTGCGTTGCCTCCCGCCAGATTTATAACCCACCTGCACCACAAGCTTGTAGACAACCCAACTTGGGCTCAGCTTCCCTCTAGCAGCAGGAACACCGAATGTACGGGGGTGCCAGTGCCAGCTCACTCAGGGCAGTGTTTTCTCAAGGCCCAGACCTGCTGGGAACTTACTATGTACATCAAAAACATCACTCCAGTCTTAACCATGGCTAAATGCTGTAGATTGTATTGTGAAGGACTTGATCTGTTTACTATGAAACCATTGTAATTTCTGCTTCCATATCTCCTTTACAGAAGTATTCCTGGATGTTACATGACAACCTTATTATGTGAAAGTACATGCAAACTGTAGAGTGTATATATTGTGTCGTTATACGGGGTCCACGGATAGTACACTGTGTTCCATGGCTCATGCCGGAGCAAGCTTCAGCTATTAAATCATGAAAGACACCTTGAAGCACAATTTCCTCACCACTGATTTGCCATATGACTTACCACATTCAGCCTTTCCTGTTTTCTTTTATGTGCACTCTGACATACTAAAGTCTGATTACAACAGTAACTTTGTGAGGATAAATAGTGGGGGTTTTCCACATCTCAGTTCTTATTTGAATTAATTTGAATTAACTTATTTGAATGTCTGAAGTTTACCCAGACAGATCTGTAAGTTTAGAGTACTATCCAAAGTTTTAAAACTTACAAGGTTGGAGTTTTTTAGGCTTTTCTTTATTTTTCCTAACTGTTTATGGTGCCTTTCTCACTTTTCGTATGAAGCCTCCCACTGGCCTAAGCATAAACCTGTACTTAGGATCAGTTAAGAAGCAAGAGATGGGGCACGTGGCAACTCTGTGACAGTATTGAAACTCCTTTCCCCTCCTTGATGAGATTGAAAAATCAAGGCATCATGAATTGGACACCGCTTTTCCACCTTCATCTGCATGAGCAGATGGTTGCACCCCCATTGACCCAGAAGGCGTCAATGGGAGAACTGAGCATTGGCCCTGCCTGTACCAATTCCACACAGAAACAGGGCCTTGGGTTTTGCTGATAATTTATCTCACAGAAACTTGGTATTTTTGCCTTAAATGACATGCTTGAGTCCTTCTAACTTTAAGTTAATTTATTTAATACAATTTTGTGCACAAAAGAATGAGTTCTATAAATTATGTATGAAAATGTTAATGTCTTTACAAAGTACTAATAAATCCAGAGGATCATATCTTTTCAAATTATAGTTTAAAATCCTAATTTTTTTTTTCTTGTATGCTCACCATTATTATTTTTGTAGCTGAAAGTCTTATCTTATAGGAATTTTTTAACATAATATTGATAGAAAATAGAGTGAATATATGAAATTCTGGAGAGGAAGAATTGTTTGTTTGGATTTTTATAAGCTTTGCTCATATTTCCTCATGAGGAGCTTCCTGTTTCAACGCTTTCGCTTTAAAAGACAGTGTCATGAGTGACAGTCATTCATTGGTTTCACAAAAGAAGGACGTGTGTGACTTTTCAAGTCTTGTCCTGAGCTGCTTATTAAAGCCCAGCTCATGACAGCTAATAAGAATTGTTCATGAGTAGGGACAAAGGACAAATTTTTTTCTGATTTACAATCCACTTGAGGATTGTTGAAGAGAGAATCTGAACTTAAGTAAGAGCTTCAGGAATTAAGCTTTATGCAAGCAACTGTTTTCTGATCAGCATGTTTGTTGCACCTGATTGAAGAGAGAACTGAAAAGAGTAGTTTTGATGATTATTATTTGTTAAAAAATCTATATTTGCTCCTGGCTTATATGATCTATACTTTTTATTTAAATATGAATATGGTGTTTTAGCCTAGGGTTCAAGATTGCAAAGATCATACACTTTTTTTCACAGTGCCCGCAGTTGTTCCATATATTTTTGAGATAATCCTACTTAGAGTGACTGCTCTCATTATAGTATGGTGATGACTAATTCACCTGCTCTTCTGTGATAGGTCAAATCATACAAATTGCTGATGTATAGTAGAACATCTGGTATACAATAGTATTTTTTGATTGGGACCTGCAATCCTTACTCAAGCAAAAATTCTACAGAATTCCTTCATTCTATGGAATTAAATAATTTTTCTTGAATTGGGAGCTCAGGTTCAAATCCTTATTTTGTTGGGCATCTGTTTAAAGTGAAAATGGTAATATTCCAGTTATTTCCTGAGGAAACTAATACTTAGCTGAATTTACCCATGTCACATTGACTATATAAAAAATAACGCACAAAGTACTGATGTAAAAAGGGAAGAAGAGAAGGGATATTTTTAAAAAGCACAGAGAAAAGGAGAATAATCAGAAAAGAGGAGTAAGCAGGAAAAGAATATATAACAGCAAAGGAATGAAAAGAGTTTAAACACCTGAGGCTAAATTCATCCTTGGATGGCTTCACTGACTTCAATGAATTCACTGCCCAACTGGGTGAAGTTCAGCCTCCATTGGGATAATCAGGCTCAGTTCTACTGACCTTAAAGGAACCGAACCCACCTATAACAGGAATGAACTTGCCTCTCAGGGCCAACTTTTATCCTGACTCATATGTCATGCAATCCTTTTGGATTCATTAGGTTTGGATGAAATACAGGTCAGAAAAGAATTTGCCCCAGATATTTCTGCTTCACATTTTTTTTCAAGTGTGTTAATCGACTTAAAATGGATTACAATATCACACGAAGTGCTGTCACTGTCTAAAAAGGTTAATTGGTTTTTAAAATAAGAACTGTCCCCTGCAGCGTCAGTGGAAGCATGCAATATTTTCCTGCCATTCATCTGTATGCAAATGTGGCCATTCATTTAGCTGTGGCTACATATAGGACAATTCCAGACATATCCAATATCATCTGCTATTGGAAGCATTTTTTACTTCTTTGGAAGATAAAAAGACAGTTTCATAACAGGCTTAGAAATGATGAAGGCTGCTTCCACTGACACTGCAACAACATTAGCCAGTACATTACAATGTTAATTGTAACTTCTTGACAACGTTGAATCCATATTGTTGTTAATAAAAATGATTTGAAAAATACCATGCTTACTGGGGTTTCTTCCTTACATAAAAGATTGTGTGGTGTGAGCATATATCAGGCAAGAAAAGAATTTAAATTTGCTTATTATTTTCCTTTTGAAGTTTTATAATTTTTTATTAAATGGACCAAACTGGGATTTAGCTAGAATAAAATGCACACGAACCAGTCTGATAGGTTCAGTTTCTGGTTACTGTTTACCGCAGAGCTTACTTCACGCTTCAGCACCCCTGTGAAAATGTGTCTGGAAGTTATTATTACCTTCCCTGTTAGATAAACAGTAACTGATTCAGGATCAGCGATCCTGTGCAAGGAGCAGGATTCCTCAAGGAAGGCCCATCCACTACCTCAGTTTAACTTGAGGACTAAGTAAAGTGCTTTCCTCTGTGTTGAATTGTGGAAGTTGCTCTAGAATGCTACTGCACCACAGTTACAGCCTTCTTTCCCCACTTT